ATTATTTTTAGAATATTTTAATTACTTTTGCAATGCTAATTACTCGCCACTTATGGGTTTTCGAGGTCATTTCTTGGTGCTTGTGTATTATTCTGGATGTACTTAAATAGTTAGGCACATTAAATTTTAGTTCAGAGAGAAACGTATTTTGGCCAAAAATCTTTAAGGCTTTAGACTTACAATTTTTTGTCATTTCGGCCAAAAAATGGATTTTGTTCAAAATTTCAGTATAGGTACTCCTGAATGTGCTGCTTAAGGATCTGTTAACCAAAATTTGATATCTTGATTATAACTTGTTCAAATGGCTTTTAGAAAATGTTCAAATGATTTTTAGAATATTTTAATTACTTTTGCAATGCTAATTACTCGCCACTTAAGGGTTTTCGAGGTCATTTCTTGGTGCTTGTGTATTATTCTGGATGTACTTAAATAGTTAGGCACATTAAATTTTAGTTCAGAGAGAAAAAGTATTTTTGGCCAAAAATCCTTTAAGCAGCTGTTGTTGGTAAACACAGCTAAAGAACTTGTGATGGCTTGTCCCCTGTATTAAACAGCTAAATTTAAGGGTGGAAAAAGAACATACTCACCTCAAGAATTATATTGTGTACTGGTTGGCCAGTGTATAGTGGTGTTTATCAGTGTATGATGGTATCAGTCAGTGTATAAAGGTGTCAGTGAGTGTTTGGTCAGATGACCTGTATGAGCAAGACATTTGAGAGAGGAGATAGGGAAGCTGTTGATCATATAGCATCAGTACTTATACAAGGATGAGAGCTGCCAGCCTTGCTGAACCATACAGTACACATGACCTTGTAGTGTAATATTGTTCAATGGGATTTTATCATAGGTAGTTCTGTTACCATGAGTAGTTTAGTTGGCTGTACCTGAGATGGGTGGAGAGCAGTGACCAAGAGGGTACAATATTCCTCTCTTCTCCTGTCATAAAAGTTGTTGGTGTAATCTCAGAGCATCCCCAGTCCACCCAGCTATTCATGGGTAGGTACCTAACTTAATAGTTGGGTAAGTGAAGGTGGTTGAGTACAGTACCTACTTGTGTACCAAAAGCTCAGCTGTAAACACAATATCCTTAATGGACAATATGCTCCACTTTCACTATCTTGGTACTGTAGGTGGATGCAGTTAGTTTTCTAGTTACTAATTAAAGTAATATTGTATTTTCTTTACTCTAGATTAGCCAGATGTTTACATCAGTTAGGACGAGAACAAGAGGCACAGCAGTGTCTCGAGGAGTTCAGAAGGCAGCACCCTGACCACAGGGCCTCGCCAGCTTGTACCACCCTGGCCAATGATATTGCTACTTCCATTTTACATCAGCAAGGAACAAGTACCGGTAAGTCCAAAGATTGAACTATTTTGAAGCGGTGTTACTGTTGTGTTATGTGCAGTGTTTGTGTATCGGATTGTTTAAATGAAGTTAGTGCAAACCTTGTACGGGTATCCCCCGGGTTACGGAAATTCGCTCTTACGTTTAAGTTATTATTATTTTTTATTTTATTTATTTTATTTTTTCCAATAAATGTACTATTAGAAAATAATAACAGAAATTATAAAATTTATTTCGTGTGGATTTATTGTTGGTTGGTACAATACTGTACAGGGGTGAGGCAGGAGCCAGTAGTGCCCCTCCCAGTAACTCTGATTGCACCACCTTATCTCACTACCTCACCTAACGCAGCACTCAACATCGTTTGTGTTAAGTTAAATTAAAATGTTTTTTATATTTATTATCATATATCATAAAATAATCACTGTATGTGTTAAACAAAAAATAATTTCATTCGTAAATGTACTCGTGTTATGTCTTTTTGCCGAAAATATTTCCTTGGGAACCCATCTCCAATTATATAATGGAAGTCAATAGGAAAATTGGTTTCGCATTACGGAATTTCACGTTACGGACAAATTTTCGAGGACACATACCTTTCGTAACACGGGGGATGCCTGTAGTGTAACGGGGTACAGTAGTCCCTCGCCAACTGCAGATTTCAGGTATTCACAGTTTTTACTCTGTATTCCATTCCACCAACCGTGACTTTGACTTTTGAGTATCTGCAGTTTAGTGCATTAACATTTTCCTCCATGTTCCATTGTATTCCTCTGTAAATGTCAGGAATGAATAAAAATAATACTACAGCAATAAATAAAATAAAATAAAAAACACTGCATTGCTATTTGCCAATCGTTTCACTAATGACATGGGAGACAGGAGCCCGCTCACCCCTCCCCTTCCCTGATTGTGGGGTAAATCCCGTTGACATAAGAAATGTTTATTCTCTGTTTTTTACCTCATATCTTTTTTTTTCACATTCTGTATGAACGATTGTGTGTGCATATAACAGTGACATTTCGTGGATTTTTAATTCTCGGTCCTCGATTATTCGCAGTTGACACCCTGGATGTACCCAAGAATGTCTGTGGGTAGTTTTAAAGTTGCCAGCTTTTTCGCGGCCGGGACAGGGAGCCAGTCGTTCTTGAGACTAATTTTTACGAGGCTAAAATTGTTATGTGGCAACCCAACCAACTAAGCTTTATTAACAAAGCACAGAGTCGACTTGAGGGTAGACTCACATTTTATCTACTTTTCAATATATTTTGTTGTCTTATTTCAGATTATTTGTGAGAGGATTTCCCATTATTATTTATTTTTATGTGTTTTGTATGTGTGTATAACTGTATATGTCTACACACACACACACACACACACACACACACACACACACATACATATACAATACAGGTAAAAGAAATAATTGTCATCAGGGCAAACACATAAAGGGAATATACATTTCCTTGCAAACGGTCAGCAAATCATATTCGGTGATTTTGCTATTCGAGGCCATTTTGAGACCCAAACCCCCGCGAATTTTTAGGGCGTGCTATATATCTACCCAAAACTATGAGTTGAAAAAAAATGCAGCTCACAGCTTGACCTGGTAGGGAGAGACTGACCCGACAACACCATCCCCCCCCCCCCACAATCTGACACTAATTCCCGTGGACGTAATAAATGTTTATTCTCTTTATGTTTTGGACCTTATGATATTCATTTCTTTTATTTTCTTACAAATTCTGTATGAACGATTGTGTGTGCATGTAACAGTAAAAAAGCAAAAAATAATAAATAAATAAAATTACGTATATCTAACCAAAAATACGAATTTAAAAATAACAATAACATAGCTTGGCTTGGTAGGGGAAAGCTAGGGGGGTGTTGCTACAGGGACAGTCTAACATGGCTACCTGCAAAGTACACACACACACACACACACACACTGTTCTTCATTTCTCTTATTTTATTGCAATATGCCATCTCCACAGAGATGTACAGGTACTGTAAAATTTATATTTAAGTAAATACCTTGATAATTCGGCACGTATGGGGCTCTGACTTTGCCGAATTATCCCAAATTTCAACTTATCAAGGCACTTGCCCCTCCTACAAAAATACAACAATATATTATCGACCCATATACATATACAGTACATGTAATTAGTAATTTTCAAGAAGTAACTCTTAACCAGCACTGCAGGTGAAGAATGATGAACTGTAGTAGGTGACACAGGGGAATGGTAGGTGACACAGAGGCATGGTAGGTGACATGGGGGAATGGTAGGTGACACAGAGGGATGGTTTTAAATGATAAAACAATAAAAAAGAAGTAAGAAAAACTATATATTGACCCTCTAGAAACTTCCCTGGGGCCACAGTGGTGAGGGAGATAAGGGGACACTGTTGTTTGATGGCAAGCACTCGTGGTCACTATTCACCTAGCGGCCATTTTCTGCTTGCCTTTGTGTCCGGGATGGCCAGTAATGCATATATTTACTGATCATAATACTTATTTCCTTTAAATATTTTATTTAGAATTTATTTTTTTTCCATTATTTTTCATAAAAAGTGCTCGGTGACACACACTCAGTCTGTAGCACTGATTAACTCCTGTCACAACCATAGCCGTCAAAAACAAATATTAGAGGTGACAGCTACCATTAATAATTAAGGGCTGATGGTGACAAGGGTTGGCACCAAATGGGTTTCTTGGAACATCTTTAGTCCAGTCTTCTTCCTGGATGAAGGCAAACATTTCCTGTTTGCTTCATGTTCATAACCAGAGCTAAGTGCATTATTCCTGCAAACTGTAGCACTTAGTGAGTTACTACTGTTCTAAATTGTTCTTATTTTTCTTTTTAGGAAGTAATGGTGACGGAGACAGTGATGAAGAGGGGCTCCTTGGTAGTTTCCCAACTCCAAGCAATCAAGAGCAAGATTGGCGTACCCATGCTGCTGATTACTATAACTCTTACTGTGGCCACTGTAACACAACCACAGACATCAAGGAAGCTGTTTTCTTGGGAAAGTAAGTATCTTTATATATATATACATATATATATATATATATATATATATATATATATATATATATATATATATATATATATATATATATATATATATATATATATATATATATATATATATATATATATATATTTCATGTAAATCACAATGAAAACGTGGATAAGATAAATCTTGATAAAATCACACGGGAAAATGGAAACAACGGAGTACCTTAGCTTTCGTCTTTATTCAAGACATCTTCAGAGGCAACTAGATTACATGGACAGAGAGAGGCTTAAATATACAGGGTGACCTAAAAACATGAGGTCAGGTCATAATGATGACATCCACTAATCCCCACACCAACACAACCGTAGAGGAGCTTAAGAGAAGGGTGGTGACGTGACTAGACAGGTCAGGTCAGAAAAAAGGGACCCACAAAATAACTGTCATACATCAAGATCAAAGGTTTTCAAAGCAGTTTTAACCTTGGGCCACTGACAAATAAATTTATGTAACATATTATCAGTTTTGAACTGACCATCACTAAGGTTTATTGATTTTAATTCCTTAATCAAACTAGCTTCAACCAGAAGTCTTTCTGTGACACAAGATGATTGGAATACTTCTAAGCTTTTTTCCCAAGCAATGGGGTGATTATTATTCCTAACATGAACGAACAAGGCACTGCTTTCAGATGCAGTTCTGATATTATACTTATGTTGTTTGATTCTGAGCTGCAGTGTTTTTCCTGTCTGACGAGAAAGCTAAGGTACTCCGTTGTTTCCATTTTCCCGTGTGATTTTATATATATATATATATATATATATATATATATATATATATATATATATATATATATATATATATATATATATATATATATATATATATATATACGTATATATATATATACACACACACACTATTGTTTTTGTAATTTTATTATTTTGGTTTGTACACTCCATGGTATATCATCATGTAGCCTCTATATACACCATAATATCTCTCAATAGTATTTCACACAATTTTACATATTTATTTATTTCAGAGATGGACAGTTTATTGCTGCCGGCTCTGATGATGGTAATTTGTTTGTGTGGGATCGGCACACAACCAACCTTATTCGTGTTATACCGGGTGATGAGTCCATTGTTAACTGTGTGCAGTGCCATCCTCACTCTTGTCTTCTGGCAACAAGTGGCATTGAATCAGTTGTCAAACTCTGGGGGCCACTTCCACAGGTTGGTGATTTATTTTATTACTACTACAGTACAGTACTATGTTATGGAATGTACTCTTCTGGATGGCTGGCAAAAATGTATGATTGTGAATACTTGTGGGGGTGAAGGTGATGCACTGGAACTATGGGGGCCTGAAGCTGCTAGATCAGGTTATGAGAGTTGTAGGAAGAGTGATCGAGAAATTGAAAGGAGGGAGAGTGGACATAAATGAAATGGAATTTTGGTTTATATCAGATAAAGGGGATTATGGAAGCAATATTTATGACCAGGCAAGTACAAGAAAGATATATAAAGAGGGAGAGAAAGTTGTACTTACTATTTGTAGACTATTAAGTAAAGTGGGCAATAAGAAGAGTTGTGGTTGAGGAGCACCTCTGTCACTTGGTTATGGAATCATATGAAGGCTCAACAACTGCTGTGTAATAAATGGTGAGGAATTTCAGGTGAAAATTGGTGTCCATCTGTTTATCATGGTGCTGGAGGTAATATCACAGGACTTTAGAACTGGTCTGCCCTGGGAGTTGTATGCTGATGACTTACTGCTGATAGCAGATATTATTGAAGAGGCAGTGGAGAAATTAAAGAAATGGAAGGATGGAATAGAGTCAAGGGCCTGTGAATGAATGTGGTGAAAATAAAAGTATTAATCCGTGGTGTGGGTGAGGGACCCGTGGTGGAAGTGGACAATGACCATGTGCTGTCTGTAAGAAAGGTGTTGGCAGCAACTCACTAATAATGTGCATTGAGTGTGGCAGGTGGGTACACAGTGGAATAGATGGCAGACTGCAGGATGTTGCTGATTTTATGTGTTCTGTATGTGCAGATAACAATGTGTTTGCAGCAAGGCTGAAGAAACTCAACATTGGGGATATGTCCCTGGACTGTATCAAGGAATTCTGTTACCTGGGTGACGTGATCACCTTTGGTGGGGGTGTTGAAGTCTGCTCAGTTGCAAAAGCAAAAAATGGCTGGAAGAAGTTTATTGGTGGTATGAGGACCTTACCTTTGCATGAAAGGAAGATCGTACACTCGTGGCTGGCATGAGAAGTGTGATGTAGTGAAACATGGGCAGTTAAAGAAGAAGACATAAGTACAGTTGAGTGAGCTGAAATTATAATGATGAAGTGCATGTGTAATGCAATACTGTAAGACAGGAGGCCCTATTTGTAGCTAAGAGGGCGGAGGTGCATGACCATAAATGTGGAGGGGAGAAGAACCAAGGGTAATCCAAGAATGACCTGAGGAGAGGTAAGAAATGACATGAAGGTTAGGAATCTAACGAAAGAGACTGCAGTGGGCTGTGTAGCATAGAGAGCTGCCATCAGGTAATTATGTCTTACCCATACAAGCATGGAAATTTTCTGTAAAATACTGTTGTTGATGAGTAGTAATATATTGTGCATTATGGGGGGATACAAGTGCTGTACAGGGTTTTTCATGTTATTGATCCAAATACTATGACTGGTACTACACTTATCCTTTATTACTTGCCCAGCTTCAATTTTAACCCATCAGCCAATTTTAGCTGGAGAGGTATTTTTGTCACTCATGATGTGTGTGTGTGTGTCTCAGGACCATTAAGCTCGCCTGTATGGAGAGCTGAACTTTGCTAATGCAGTTTGAAACTTGAGTGTTACTTATTGATGATATGGATGTGCTCTTTAAGAATAACAGAGTATGAGGTTAATGTCACTTTAAAACCTTGGCTCTAATTCACTTAAATGGTAGTTATGGTGACCATAACTTTTACATCTCCAGTAAATAAGGAATACATACAAACTTGGTAATGGATGATTCACAAACAGTTTGTGCGGTGACTGTAAATTAAGTTTAATTCAGTAAGCTGATGCCAGAGAAGGTTTTGGTGTACAGTATTTGTTCTGATTCTTCACTAGACCAATCACTGTGCCTGGAACAAAACACAGGAGAAGAACTTCTGGAGGGTAAAGGTGTAAAGAAAAATTGGCTTACTTTCTCCACTGAGATTTTCAAGATAGTAACCGAGGTTGCTGCAAGGAAAGATGTGATCTTAGAAATACTTTTAATCAACTCTAGCATAACAGGTGATAAAAGCAGCCTGGGGTGGTATTACTGTGGCCATGAATGCAGTCAACCACACAGCTTGAGGTGCAGAGGTAGTGCCTTATTCTTTTTTTCCATGATCAGTTAACATGGCTATTAACCTTTTTTTTCCTCCACAGCTGGACGTTGACAACGAGCCATCCCTAGATGTAGAAGAGATAGCCCAAGCTAACCAGCAACGCATGGGTGCCGACCCATTAGAAATGATGCTCATGCATATGGGTAACATGGCACATGTATTTGGAGGTGGTGTTGGAGGTGGGAGTGGAGGAGGTGGAGGGACTGGGGAAGGAAGAGGTAATGGAGGAGGCAGACCGGGTCAAGGCAATGATAATCCTCCCCGGGACCCATCACCTGGGGGACTCAATGACCGCAATATGGCTGATGTCCAGTGTCGTACCAGCTGAGACTGATCAAACGTAAGCCCTTTGCTGGCACTCTCCTCCAGAAACAAGACTGTGATGGACTCCACTGACTTTGGTCTGAATTCTGAAGAACCTTTTAATAAATAATTTAGTTACTGTATGCCTCAGCATTAGCAGTCATTGAGTAGTGTGACTGATTAAGTACCAAAGAATGTTTTCTGAAATGGTTACTTCAGACTATGGACCTTTGTGGCAGGAGTCTCCCTAGGTATAGAATCCTTACCAAGTGACTTGTGGCAGAGAAGATAAACTAAACCAATCCTAGAGTTTCACTAGAGCCTTTCAAAATAGGGGTCTTCAAGCTATAGGGAACCATCCCTAAATTTGTAGTGCAGTGAATAAGACAGCCCTAAATACATATATAAGGCCTGAACTTTCATGGCTATTTGGTTTTCTTGTCAGTAAGGAAATGTTCACAACTCAGGATCAACATTGGTATTTTCTCTTGCTTGTTTATATATCTATAACTGTTAAGCTGTCTTCTGCTTCCCAGTGGGGTGAATCATGCATTTTCCTTCATACATGCCTGTCCTTGCATAATTTTATAAACCCATTCACAGTAACAACCTGCAGATTCCAGTTTTCCATATGTTCTTGGTCACTATCTTCCCTGTGTATCCACAACTTCATCATCATGACTCTGCATCTAACTTTCCCATGTTCTGAAACTTCCTCACAACTTGCTTGATGAACTGTTCAGTATTTCTCTCATTCTGTCTGTTCTTCTCATATCCTCATTATTCTTTGTTATCTCTTATTTTACTCTTATATCTTACATGATACATATCTGCTGATGTAACTCACTTTAATGCTTCATCAGGACATTGTCTCATATCCATTCATCAGGGTAGTCTAGCCTCATGTATTTGAGCTAATCATAACATTCTTAGGAATTCATTTTCTTACCTGTCTCAGGTATCATGAGAAGATCCTGTAAGGTCCTGCCTCTCACCGCTGCTTTTATATATCAATGGCCATTCCTCCATCTTCACTATAAGTACTTCCAAGGTATTTTAATTCTGAATCTGTTTCATCCTCTTACCATATCATATTGTTGACTCCATTACTGAGTCAGGTACTGTACCACCATTATTTTTTCCCAAACTTTTTTTTATCACTTATTCCTTCATATTTCCTGTCGCTGTTCTGTAATTGTTCCCGATGCCTCATTCACACAAAACAATACCATTGTTTTACAGTTCTTTTCCAGCTTTACTCTTCTACACATTACCAGCCAAGATTTTTATTATAGTTTTATTATAGATTTTAAACAATTTCATAAAAGGAAACAACATGACTGATTCACCCCCAATTATACTGGTCATTCTTTTCTGCACCTGTTCAAACCCATGTTGGTACTGTACTGTACTGTACTCTCTGTTCAAACACATATTGGTACTGTACTGTACTCTCTCTTCATACACCTGTTGGTACTGTACTGTACTGTATTCATACACCTGTTGGTACTGTACTCTCTCTCTTCATACACCTGTTGGTACTGTACTCTCTCTCTTCATACACCTGTTGGTACTGTACTCTCTCTTCATACACCTGTTGGTACTGTACTCTCTCTCCATACTCCTGTTGGTACTGTACCTCTCTTCATACACCTGTTGGTACTGTACTCTCTCTTCATACACCTGTTGGTACTGTACTCTCTCTCCATACACCTGTTGGTACTGTACTTCTCATACACCTGTTGATACTGTACTCTCTCTCCATACACCTGTTGGTACTGTTGTACTGTACTCTCTTCATACACCTGTTGTACACTACTCTCTCATACACCTGTTGGTATGTACACTCTGTTGGTACTGTACTCTGGTACTGTACTCTCTCTCATACACCTGTTGGTACTGTACTCTCTCTCATACACCTGTTGGTACTGTACTCTCTCTCCATACACCTGTTGGTACTGTACTCTCTCTCCATACACCTGTTGGTACTGTACTCTCTCTCATACACCTGTTGGTACTGTACTCTCTCCATACACCTGTTGGTACTGTACTCTCTCTCCATACACCTGTTGGTACTGTACTCTCTCTCCATACACCTGTTGGTACTGTACTCTCTCTCCATACACCTGTTGGTACTGTACTCTCTCTCCATACACCTGTTGGTACTCTCTCTCTCTTTCAAACTTATGCTGTATTATTTGTAGGAACTCAACACTGTGGTGACAACACTACACTGAATATACCTGCAACTGTTCTACCCAGCTTATTTCAGTTTAGTATGTCAAACAAAACATGTGTACTTCTCCCCTTAAGAAAAAGTTCATGAGTTGAAGTAATCAACATCCACTTCCTCCTTTTTTTAGTCTGCTCTTTGTGTTCATTGTTTCAGTCACTGTACCTCTCATGTTTGTTGAGGCAGCATCACACAGGCACCAGAACTGGCAAGTTTACAAACCAACAAGCTAATTTAGCACTACCATTCTGGCTAGCATCCTCACAGTTGTCACTCGAGGCTACTGTAGTCATCACACAAATAAGAGTTGTTTGCTGTGCTGCACTGTGCTAGGAAAATGGAAACATTGCTGTCAAATCAATACTAGTACTGTACCAAATTAATATGCATTCATAAATTATTATATGTATTTTATATACTGTATTGTGGTATTATTAAAATCTATCATAAGGATATATATACATACATACTGTACTCGAACCTCGCTAATTTGACATGGTCAGGGCTCTACCCTATTTAAATTATCCTTAGAATACAAATTAACCCTTTAGTAGGGAGGAGTTCTCACAGCATTAGCCAAAACAAAATACCCAGTACAGTACCTATGTGCGGCTCTGCCCTCTGAAGGGTTAACCAAAGTGTTCAAAATTTGTTTGGCAATTTAAGCAGTTGTTTTGATAATTGAGGTCTAAGTTTGAAATCTGGCAGAGAATTTGAACCAAAATATATCACAAACCATGTTTTTTAATGCTTTTTTTTTTTTTTTTTTTACGCAAGTTAACTTGTTTTCAATGTTTTAACACGCATACACACACATCACACTGTTGTATCGTACAATATAGAAACAGTATGTTTTTACACTTACTTAATGTTGCTTAGGTAACATTTGTTGCAACTGCAGGAAGATTAAGCCGAGACATTAACATAAAAGACATAAACTGTACTGTACAGTATGTACCAGAGTGGGTCTTGAGTCAAGTGTGCTCGTCACTCTGGCTTAACTTAGAGCTGACAGTGTTTAACAGTGTGGTTTATGTTACTAGTAACACTTATTAAAAATAGTGCACGTTATGTGTCTCTTAAGAATCAGTTGAAGATAAGTGATTACTTTAAGGCCGATACAGCATCTGGGTGTGTTCCTTACTACTGTACCACTTAACAATAACACGTTTATAAAGCAGAAGACAGCGTTGAAATGCCCGACATACAATGTTAAAAGCTAGAACACACATGCAGATGCTCCTAGACTAGTGGTAAGATGCTGGGTTGTGTACAGTAACTCTAGGTCAAGATGGCATCACTCGACATATTTCTCGACTTAGATTTTTCTATAATCCATTACACATACATTATTCACAACCGAGAAGTAATCTAAAAAATAAAAAAAAATATTATTTCCCAACATTACAAAATAAGTCAGCCAAATATCTCTTAATTTCATAATGCCATTTATGTAATATTGTTGGAAATTTATTGAGTTTGTGCACTCTATAGGACACAGGGTCGTGAACAGTTTGCCTGCAGGCTCTGTAGATGGCAAACTTTAAGTACTGTAGTTAACAGTGGACATTTTTACACTGGATAATAATAAAGTTTAGAAGCATTATTGTAAAGTTAAATATTTCTTTAAAATACTTTTTTGTGAAATACATAGACTGTAACATTTGTATTTTTGTAACAGTAAAGTTATGATTGCTGAGGGTGGCCAATTACCCTTTTTGTGCCATGCATAAGTTATATAGTAACATAAGGTCAAATAGATATTACAGTTTATGTTAATGAAACATTACCTTGAAAATTTTTTTCTTAACATAACATACAAATAATACATGTTGAGATTAATGGTTGTACTGTAAGTACAACCAGATTTTATGTGGTAATTTTCACCTCTGTAGACTCATAATGCCATGAAGAAGTACAGACTGTTGTATAGCCCTGATGAGATATTATTTTTTCATATACCATACAACTAATGCATGTACTGTAAAGTTATACTAATGACATACAGTACTGTATAATGAGCTACTCTGTTTCTCATCTTGTTGGTAGGCTGGTTGCATCATATGGTACTGTATTGTGTTGTGTTGTGGCAGCACTGATGGTTACCAAGTTATTATTTTTTTAACTAAAAAAAATGGATATTGGCTGGACATTTATGAAATATCACTAGAAATGTAGTGGAGTTAATATTAAAAAAATGAAAAGAAAAACTGAAGATTTGTAATGGCAGCAAGTTGGTATTGTATATTAAAAGTATAATCAAAATGCACAAATTGATACCCTAGTTTCACACAAAGGGAAGCTGCCTGCACCAACTTGCTGACTGCATGACTACATTTACTGTAAACCCCTGCTGTTCGCGGTAAGCAGATAGTGGCTGTGGTGGCTAGCTTGCGAGCTTCTCCAGCAGCGCAATGAGTCACCCCACCCACCCATAGCGTTTCCTCCCACTCTTTGTGGGCAACCATTGCCGCGGCGCAGTATCTCTTTAGTGTTTCTGTATGAAAATGGCCCCTAAAAGACTGCTTAGAGTCAGTGCTAGTGGAGTGAAACGTAAAAGGCAGAAGTCAGTGATGACCCTGTTAAAGAAAGTTGAATTAATAGACAAATTAAAGGACAGGACGAGTGCTGCTGTAGCTGGTCGGTTGTTTGGTCCAAGAAATCAACCAGGCATTGGTTTCCTTCCAGGAAATGTTTAAAGACCTCAAAGACAAGAGGAAACAACTACCAATAACTATGTTTTTCAAGAAATAACCAGCCGCTCGTTCAGCTGATTCGTTTCCCTCACTCACTCAGTCAGCTGCTGCCGCCACTCCACCACCCTCCTCCCAGCCACTCGCCTCTCCACCACCCACCACCACCACCACCTCCTTCAACCACCAACACTGCATCATCCTCTTCCAACAGTGATCCTGATGATCTCCCTATGCTTACTACAAACTTCCAATAATTTGTACAATTGGCAAAAAAAAATTTTGTTTAATTTTTGGTTAGTTCACCCACAAGAAAAATTATATGAATTCCCCAGTGCTTTCCATTAGTGAGGTTCGAGAGTATACAGTACAGTATTATAATAATAATAATAATAATAATAATAATAATAATAATAATAATAATAATAATAATTAACTGTTTATTGAAAGAGCGTAGCAGCCGGAAGGCTGAAAATATACAGTTGCATAATTGGGGAATGGATCACTTGATTGACAAATAATATACAAGTAACATAAGTTATACATATACACTGTATGATATATAATAACTAGGTGGGGAGAAGTTTATACTACAGGCCTTTCAACATAGTGACAGGCTAAAATGTAAGATTGACTGGGAGTGAATACTCTGGTTGATTACAAGTTGTTGGTAATTTTTACAATGGTTGGGACTGGGCTGTTCTTATAGCTATCAGTACGTGCTCGTATGGGCTGGATGTGGTTGTGGTGTTAAACAGCAATTCGCGGATGAGGGATTTCGGATGGAAGTAAGAGCCGGTGTCAAAGATGGTGCAGAAGTTTCTCACCAAATTTGCAGATGAGGTCGTGGTGATGGTCAGAGAGAGCCGAGAGGGTCAGTGTGTTGAGCGCTTCCTGATATGTGGAGTAGGAAGGGGAGAGAATAATCTTGCGTGCCCTCTTCTGCACTTTTTCTAGGTGTTTACGTTGTGTCGCATTTAGGGAGGAAGACCAAGCAG